CTGTCCCGCCCCCGCCGCCCGGCCCAGCCTGACACCCCCTGCCTTCCTCCACAGACATGTCGAATCGCCCCGTCTGCCGACATTTCATGATGAAGGGCAACTGCCGCTACGAGAACAACTGTGCCTTCTACCACCCGGGTGTCAACGGGCCGCCCCTGCCCTAGGGCCGCCCGCCACCCCTGGACTTCAGCCTTGCTCCTCCGCCCGTTATGGCTTCTGTGAGGCCCGTTTCCCCTTCCTCGGCTCCCACCTGCATGTATCATCCCCTCCTGGGAACCGAGGCTACTGACCTGGAGCCCCTCCCTCCACTCGTGGGCCCGCCGCACGGTCGCCCTGCCGAGTCCGTGGTCCCTCCTGGGGCAGACGCCGCGGGGCCCATTGTCCTGTGGCGCCTGGGCTCCGTGGGCTGGATCTGAGCTCTGACAGTGGCCCACACCGTGCCGTGGGCTCAAGTGAGACCGCAGCCTGTGGACAGCTCTGGGGTCTGCCGCGGGCCGCGGGCCGCTGGGCACTGGGTTCGATGGTGTCGAGAGCTCACTTCTGCGTTGGTGAGTCAGCTGGGAGCCACCCTTGCCTCCAGCTTTGCTGGGGACCTCGAAGGACATTTCGGGACCAGCTCTCCGTTTGCTCAGGCCTGCACACTACACGGGGCTGCTATGGGGCCCCTGTAGCCACCGCCCCCAGGGTTCGGTCAGGTGACGTCCCCTTCCCGGTCCTCCCTCCTCCCACTCGCATCAGTTGTTTTCTATGAAAACAGTGGATTGGTTGGGTTTTGTGCAGGGTCTTGGGTTAGAGCCACAGTGGATTTAAGGATGAATTTTTTCTTTTGGTTTTGTATATTTTGTACATTAATAAACAGTGGAAAGAGAAGCAGCTTATTTAACCCCTCGTGTGTTTGGACTTCTTTCCCCAAAGCTATTTTCAGCTGTTGTCGATAGATTGGGATGAACCTTCACGAAGTCTTTCTTGTCCTTTGGGAACTCACACTCGCTCTTGCTTCCAGTCAGTTGGTGCTGATGAAAGATACAGCAGGGCTTCTCTCACCCGGGAGGACTGGGGCCAGAACACCCCGCTGCCCAGCAGGGATCCCTAAATCCTGTGCATGTCCTCCTGTACTTTTAGGTGGTCAAAGATCCCATCCAAAACAGCGTAAGCAACAGTGGTACCTCAGTTCACAACTCTTTTTATTAATTTTTTTTTTGGTACTGGGGATCGAACTCAGGTCCTTGGGCTTACGAGGCAGGCAGAACCACTGAGCTAATCCCCAGCCCAATTCACAGCTCTTAAAATGACTGCCCAAGAACCAAATCAAATTTCTCCATGCGATCAACACTGACCTAACAACTGACTTTGATTCGGGGGTTTTTGGGAGCGTTGGGTTTGAGACGGGGTTTCACTATGTAGTTGAGACTGACGTGGAACTATGTAGACCAGGCTGGTCTTGAACTCACAGCGATCCTCCTGCCTCAGCCTCCCAAGTGCTGGGATTACAGGTGTGCGCCGCCACATCCAGTTTAGGGTTTTGTCTAATTTGGTTTGCACCCAGGATTGTGGAAAGAAGTTTGTGAACTGAGGTACCACAGTAGATATATTTAGGGAAAAATGACAAAGTCTACAGATTCAGTTCAGCTTTTTTTCCTTCAGTATTGTTTTGGGAATTGAATGCAGGCCCTTTGCACCGAGTTACATCCCCAACTCTTGTTTGAGATGAGGTTATGTTAAGTCTAATTGCCCAAGCTTGGCTTGAACTTGTGATCTTCCTACCTCAGCCTTCCAGAGTTCTGGTTACAGGTTGTGCAACCAGGCCCAGTTTAAGTACTTTTATCCCCAGTTGAATTTGTGGCTGTGGAACCCACAGATGCAGAAGACCAGCTGTGCTCTGAGACATGGGCTACAGAGAAGATCCTACAGGTCAACACAGAAGCAGGCGGATCACAAGTTCAGGCCCACCTGGGCAATGAAGCACAGAGACCCTGTCTCACAACATTTTAAAAAGAGCTGGGGCTGGGCGTGGTGGTGCACGCCTTTAATCCCAGCACTCAGGAGGCTGAGGCAGGAGGATCGCTGAGAGTTCGAGACCAGCCTGGGCTACAGAGTGAGTTCCAGGTCAGTCTCAACTACATAGTGAGACTCTGTCTCAAAAAATACAAAAATAAATAAGGAGCTGCGGCTGTACCTCAGTGATCCCTAGTGATGCCACAGGACCAAGGACACACTCACACCAAGCAGGGGCCTGTGGAGCATGCAGCCCCTCACAGGTGGCTGCTGCCATAGACTTTGTGTGGCCATTGGTTCTGGCTGAAACTGCCTGAGGTGGAAGGAGACGGGATTAGTAAGGCCCAGCTGTGGTGTTTGCCCAGGAAGCAAACAAGCCTGTGTGTTGATAGGAGGGAAGTTTCAGGGGAGAAAGTAAGGGAAATGTATAGACTGCTTGTCCCACAAAACTGTCCTTTGCTAGTGGTGCACGCCTGTAATCCCAGCACTTGGGAGGCTGAGGCAGAACTGCCATAAGTTTGAGGCCAGCCTGGGATAGGTAGTTCAAGGCCAGCCTGGACCACACTGAGAGCCTGTCTCAAAAAGAAAGTGGCCCTGCCAAGGGCAAGGCCCTGCTGCTAGACGGAGAGTAAAATGTTCCAGTTCTTTAGGGCAAGTATTAAATTTAGGACCTAGATGATTCCTGGGGGTGTGGGAGGCTTTGAAGACCAGAACACAGAGGCATAGGATCAACTTTTAGAACAAGGACTCGTGGGCCAGGGATTTTGCTCAGTGATTCTGCCACCTGCCTCACAAGTACAAGGTCCCGAGTTTGATCCCCCAGTAACCCCCCCCCAAAAAAAAGAACAAGGTCTGGCTATGTAGCCCAGCTGGCCTCGAACTGGTGATGCTCCTGCCTCAGCCTCCCAAGTGCTGGGATTAGCAGTGTGCACTCTCACGCCTGCTGAGTTCTCCTACTCTGGAAAGCAGAAGAGTGCATCACATTGCAGGGATGGAACAGAGTTGAGGAAGACGGGGCTGCCGGGGTGCGGGTGCTCTGAGAACCATGGCTTTCCAACTGCGTGATCGCCAATCACCTGAACAGTCCGAGGCAGGCAGCGGGGTCTGGCCGCGCTTTGGACTCAGCAGATCCTGGGTAGCTCCTGAGAACTCTCTCCCAACAAGGGCCCAGGTACTGGCGCTCACCTTCGGGGAAAACTTGAGAACACGACCCCAGGTGCCAGCTCCTTGGCTGTTATTTCTACCACTGGCCACACGGGGACGACACTTAAACTCAGCAGGCTCAGTTGGAAAAACCAGCCAAACCTTTCCCAACATAGTGGCCATAACTTTGTCTCCAAGGCCTGCTTCTCACTTAGCTCCCAAGAGAAGTCCCAAGAACGTTTAAAGAAAGCTTCAAGTTTTTCCTATTTTAATTTGAAAATGAGCTCAACTGCCAGGCATGGTGAGGCATACCTGTGATCCATCACTCTGGAGGCTGAGGCAGGATTGCTGTGAGTTCAAGGCCAGCCTGAACTGCAGAGGGAGACCCTGTATCCAAAAAACTTCTTTCCCTTTTTCAAGGGGTGGCCCGAGCACCTCACCCAGTTCACCCACTGCTGTTCAGGCCTCACCAGGACTGCAGACTCCTGTCTCTCCCGTTTCAGTCTGCTTCCTGCTTCCACCCCCATCCTCAGCCACCTGTTCAGCAGTCGTGCTCCTGCTGACTCTTCCCAGGGGCACCAGACCTGTCACCAGCTCTGAATCACTGTTCTCTCATCCTTGCTGCTGGGTGGCAAGGTAGTGCCGACAAATCACAAAATCTGACCCAGTGTCACTAACTGGCATCGGCCAGTGTTCGCCGGAGAAGCACGGCACTGATTTGGGGACACTGGCGTGCCTGAGAATGCAGGTCGCATCCGAGTGCCAGTCCCCTTCTCCTCAGGTAAAAACTTCGGACTCCAGTACAACTGACTGGAGTAAAATCTCCAGTACTTGAGTTGGAACCCAGAGCCTTTCCACTGAGCTGAATCCCCAGCCCTTTTTATTTGCTATTTTGAGATAAAGTTGATAAATTGCCCTGGCTGGGCTGGGACTTGTGATCCTCCTGCCTCGGCCTTCTGGTGTGCTGGGAGTATAGCCTTGCACCATGCCTGACTTTGGAAAATAAACTCAGCAAAGGAGCAAAGCACCCTCACACCTGGTGAGTTCTCCTAGTCTGGGAAGCAGAAGAGCGCATTACATTGCAGGGATGGGTAGAGGTAGAAAGATGGGGCTGCTGGGGTGCGGGTGCTCAGAAGCTAAACCTGAGGTCGGGAAAAGGCTGCACTTTCTGAAGTTCAAATCTGAGAAACTGCAGATTGAAAGGAATACTTACAAGTGAAAAAAGAAACAAGTCAGGAGGGGCACGAGTGAGTGCTTAGGGTCTTTATAAACTAGATTCTTCTCTTATCATGACATAAAGGTAGTTGCTAATGTTTTTTATGTTAGTTTTTTTGCAGTATCGGGAATCGAACTCAGGGCCTTGTGCTTGCAACACAGGTGTGGTTCTGAGCTGAATCCCTGGCCCAGCAATGTTTTCTCTAAGGTCCTGTTTTCTGTAGGGAAAAGTTATGGGTGGGTAGCTGTGTGTGTAAGAGGCACAGTGCGCAGAACCTAGCCATCAGAGATCGAGTGGCAGTCACTGCTGGACTTCACACTGCTAATGGTGCAGTCTTGTGTTACCTGTGCACCAGTCTGTAAAGTCCAGCCAGTGGTTGGAGACGCTGGCCATGTCCAGAAACATCTCTGGTTGTCAGAATGCAAGTGGCACTGGCACTGAGTGCAGAGGCCGGGCCGCTCACCCTTGAACACCTGGCCGTCCCTTTCACGGTCGAATTGCCCAACCCAGTGTCATTACTCCACGTCCAAGAAACCTCACCCTAGTCTGAGCAGTTTGGAATAGTAAAACCTCAGGTGTCCGAGTGGATACATACATGGCCAAAAACTTTTCACTATGATTTTTTTTTTTTGGTACTGGGGATTGAACTCAGGACTTTGTGCCTGCCAGGCAGGCAGCAGAACCACTGAGCTAAATAACTGGACTTTCAAATAATAAGGATCTTTAAAAAGCCACATTTTTTGCTCCAGGACAATCAGAAAAATGCCTCGAGGGCATCTCAGAACTGGCCACACCCCCCTCATCACAAGCTCAGATGGGAACAGGTACACACTAAAGCCGGCTCACAAGAGGGGCACAGGGCCACCCTGCTCGCACAGGTCTGCCAAGTTGTTTG